ACATAAAGCTAAAAGTGGTAAAATTGAAATAAATGAATCCACAATTATATTTGGAGATGTTAACAATGCATAGAATAGCTATACAGGAAAATCAATAAGGAGAGAAAATAACATACCATCAGTCAATAGGATCTAATCAATAGTAAAATTGTCCATCAAACAACAGAATATGCATTCTATTCAAGTACCCATGGAACATATATCAAGATAGACCACCTAGCAATCCAAGGGAGGAATAATATTTTTAACAATTGATGTTGGAGCAAGTGGACAACCTCTTGTTGAAATCTTGAAAAGACAGGCAAACCTATTAAAAAGAACTACACAAATTCTTCACAGAAAAACAGGAAATCCAAAAGACCAATAATCATATGAAAAGAGATGCTGAGTTTCATTAAAAATCAAAGAAGTTTTAATTAAGTCACTGTGGGAACCCACTGCACCCCCAGCTGATAGACAAAAATTAGAATTAAGAGGATAAATATGAAGGGTTATAAAATATGGAGCAATAGAAAATCATATTGCCAGTAGGAATATAAATTGGTATAACAGGTTTGAAAAAAAATTTGTTATTTTATATTACATAGTATAAATAAAGATACACATACTCTATCAATTCCAGAGAAACACATGTACCTGTGCAACAAAAAAAAAAAGGATAGACCAAAATGTTATATACTTCATGGGCCAATTTATACAGCAATCTTGAAACAACAAAATATTAGAATCAAATCCAATTATAGAATCAAAATTATAGATCAGATTAGTGGAGATGGCAGTGGCTTTCAAAGAACACCAAGAGGGATCCTTGTGGTAATAAAATGTTCTGTATCTTAAGTATCTCAATGCAAATACCTTGGTTGTTATATTGTACTAGATTTTTATAAGATGTGACCAGTGGGGGAACAGAGTAAAGGGAACATGGAATTTCTCTGTATTATTTACAACTTCATGTGATTCTGTAATTTTACCAAAATAAAAAGTAAAACCGAAAAATGCAGTGACAACAGAATACAGATGATATACACAATAATTGCAAGTATGTAAATATACACGCTAAGACTAAAAATAATACACAAAACTGAAAATAATTATAGCTGGAGTAGAATCACAGAGAATAGTTTTCCTAAAATTGTAAAACTGTTATTATTCCATGTCTTTAATAATTTGTCTAAGGTATATAGAACAGCATTCTCCTAAATGGTTCAATATTTTTTATCTTCATATGCAAGCACCAAGTTTTCCTTTTTATTTCAAGAATACAAAAAAACTACATCCAACTTAATCTGTCCATGAATGAGTCATATGAAATCTCTAAACCTCAGTTTCTTCAGAAGATTAATAACATCTCTCCTATATCCCTCACAGCATTGTTAAATGAGGCTCAAAATGGCATGGTGTTTCCAATCTGTAAATTCACTATAAATCCAATGTAGTATGTAATTATAAAGTAGTCCTGGTTTAGATAAATTCAATGTACACAATTTCATTGACTAAAATTGACTGAAGCTAGGCATTAATTCATTCTACCTACAGTTGTGGGATGAATTTTGTCCCCTCCAAATTCTTATGTTGAAATCCTAATCCCTGGGACCTCAGAATGGGATTGTATTTGGAAATTTGTCTTTGAACATGTAACCTAAGTTAAAATGAGATCATTAGAGTGGGCCCTGTCGGGGGCCCATATGACTGGTGTCCTTATAAGAAGAGGATATTAAGACACAGACATACAGAGGAAACATCATGTGAGGACAAAGGGAGAAGACAGACACCAAAACCCAAGGAGAGAGGCCTTGGGAGAAACCAACACTGTTGACACCTTGATCTCAGACTTCCAGCTTCCAGAACAGTGAGAAAATAAATTTCTGTTGTTTAATCCACCGAGTCAATGGTACATTGTCATGGTACTCTAGCAAATTAATACATATACCTAATTAATACATTAATACATATATCTTCTTTCATTTAAAACTTTTTAAATTTATTGTTAGCTAGTGTTATACAGCAAAGGGTCCCAGAGGATCCTAACCTGGATGTAGCCTGTTCTCAGAATCAAATCAACCTGGTTTATAATTCTGTGTCTGCTATTTCCTAGCTCGGTGACTTGGAGAGATGACCCACTGTCTCTGGATCCTAGTTTCTTCATGTATTAAAGGTGGGCTCCTACCTCACAAGGTCAAATAAGAATCCAATGAAACTGGATTAAAAGAAGTGAGGGTTAGAAGTGCCTTACCCCTGCAAGGCATATGATTGCTTGCCTTTCCTAATCTTCAAGATTATATATCCCCCAGGTAAACTGACACTACCTTCACTTGTCGATTGCTTGATGCTTTTACATACATTTTCATCTGATTCTTACTTGATTTTCAGTTAAAATAGAAGGGGTGAACATAGAAAAAATTTAAGGATTTAGACAAAATACAGAGCTAAATGGTAGAGACTACAACCCAGGCTTCCTGTTTTTCTGTGATAGAAGGAAGGAAGTTCCAAATACTGAACATGGGAATCTTCATGCAGGATAGGAATTTCTATCATTGGAGGAAGGGCAAAGGGGGGCGATGACCATTTTTGCAAAATATTTCCAAACTGTCTAGTAAGTACTATAAAAGTATTGTATTGACCCAGCAGTTCCACTTTGGGGAAGAGCCTCCAAGAAAATTCAAAAGAAAAAAGATAGATAAAAGATAGTTTGCACAAAAAGGTTCACAATGGTTTCATATAGAAAGCTGAAAGTTCGGAAATAATTCAAATATCCCCCCTCAGCATTTACTGCCACTCCTCACTCCTTACTCCCCACCCCCACCAAAATTAGAGAAATCATGCAGGAAATGACAATATCAATATGCTGGACTACCCTGAAGCTGCAAATAATGTCAAATAGATAAATGATTTTAATACACAGAAATGTGTTTGAAAAATACCAAGTGATAAAAGCAGGACACGTGATTACCTCCACAGAGGTTGTGTCTATGTGAACATTAATCAACCAGCACTGACAGACCCATGATGAAACTGGAGCAATCGAAAGAAAATGTCTCATTTATTTATTAAGTTCTTTAATCTGTAAACTTGCTTAAAAATTTTTTTGAGAGAGAGAGAGAGCACACACAGGGTGGGGGTGGGGAGGCAGAGGATGAGGGAGAGAGAATTTTGAGCAGGCTCCACACCCAGTGCAGAGTCATATATAGGGCCCAATTTCATGACCCTGAGATCTTGACCTGAGCAAAATCAAGAGTCGAATGTTTAACCAACTGAGCCACCCAGGCATCCCTAAACTTGCTTAAATTTTTAAATGTAAAAGCAAGGAGTTCTCCCAATACACACAGGGCAACAACAGCCGCTATTTTAACTACTCCTTTGCCATAAGTGTAAGAGTCCCTCACCATCTTTTGAGTAGTAGATTTACCAACTTTCATAGAGGCAGAACACAGGAAGGGTACAGGAGGGATACTTCCCCATTCCTCAAGCTCTGTGTTTCCCTCCTTATGTTGGAATCCTGCCCTCCCTCTGTAGGTCCTCTGACTAAAGGCTCCAGGGGACACTGTCTCAGGAGTCCTGAGCAAACATAACTCTGTTCTCCAAAGTCCAAAATTCTAGACTGAGTTTCTCCCTTACTTCTGTTCCACAGAACCCTCACCTCTCCCCCACCCCAAAAAAATATTTTGAAAGGAAGAAACATAAGTAAAACACCTAACTGTAAGAAGAAGAGTCTTCCCAGATATTTTGTTTCCTTGTGTAGAGGTAAGGGGATCTTGAGAACCTAAATTCTGACTCTGAATTTTTACTTGGCTTGACTCAGGGCCAAGAATTCCAAGTTGGCTCTGGACCAAGATATTTAAGCCTTAATTTCTCCATAGGCAAAATGAGGATACTGCCATCAATCATCAATGTGGCTCTCTCCAGCCATACTCAAGCCCTTGCTCTTGCTTTTGTTCCCCTCCCCTTCTCTCCATGTTCACCAAGTGTACCTATTCAAGGACAGATTAATTTCTCTCTGAAGGCTTCCTGGACTACAGCAACACCTCTTTCCAAGCTCCATGTGACTCAAACCCCCTGAACCCCCATATCATTGAATGATTATTCCCTTTGCTCAGGGATCACCCTGCACTGCTTCACAATCCCCATGACTCAGAATATGCACAAAACTGCTTCCACTTGATGGAAAGTTCCTTTCAAAATAAATTAGTAAACAAGGACCTTGGGGCTTTTTCCTAAAAGATGAGTTAGAGGATTTGTTTGAAGTCTCTTTTTCATTTTAAAATGTATAGGGATGTTAGCTTAAGGCTTCCTTCTGCAAGAAGAAAAGTACAAATCTCTTCTTAGAAGGCCAGCATTCCATTTTTATGGATTAAATCTGATCCTCGGGCTAGATACTTAGTAAAGATATATGTATTACTTTCTCTTAAGCTAATACCAGAGGTAACCGGGTACTGGCCTTCAGTGAAGTGGAAGGTGGCTAAGTCTCAAGTAGACTAACACAGAGAGGTAAAAGTTCAGAGGTAAAAGTGTACTAGACACCCCCATGATGGCTAAAATGAGTTTTGAAAAACTATTTCATAAATATCATCATAAATCAGATTATATTTTCCATGTAGAAAACATATTATAAGTGGAAGTTGATTTGGTACATTAATATACAAGGAAAGCAAAGACATACCATCTATAAAATAGGTCTCTAAATATTTACAAGAAAAATATGTGCAAGAATTGGCATAAATATAAATATACTATATATACTGATTAAAAGAGCAGTTCCATAGAACACTCACAAATATACATGAATGCATGATTCTATGTATCATAATTTTTCATCCACTATTAATCATAATAATAATCATAATTAATAATTAGTATACATTACATAATATATAAATTATTATATATTAATATCTAATTAATATATTATATGACTATTATAATATATAAATTATAATATATAATTAATCATATTAATCATGATGTATTAATCATAATAACTATAAACATAAGAATGAACACTAACTTTCTTTGCCTTTTTTGGTGTCTGAACAAACTTTGAGAAGATTATTTGGACAGTCCAGGTTTCCTAAAGAGTTAACTGGAGAAGTTTGAATAGGTGTAGCAAACAGAAGTATTCAAAATGATCTGATTTACCTTAGAGCAACCTCAGAGCTTTGTAGGTGGTAGGCTGAGGAGGTGAGGTGGCAGACGAAGTGTGAGAGCCAAAGAGAGTGCCCCATAATTATTTTGGAAGGAGAAAAGAAAGTAAGGAATCAGCCAAACTTTAGCAAAATTGTTGGTAGTAGGTGGGGAAGAGGACTCATATGGATAGTGGCAACGAACCTGCTGTAAGAGTGTGCCACATTCTCCTTGTGGTAATGAACTTCATGTATTAATCTGGTAGGCTCTGGTCCCCAGATGTTTCAGTGTAGTTCTTTCTTTTTTTCTTTTTAATTTAAATTCTGTTAATTAAAAAAGAGTGTATGATTAGTTTCAGAGGTAGAGTTCAGTGATTCATCAGTTGTATATAACACACAGTGCTCATCACGTCACATATCCTCCTTAATGCCCATCACCTTGTTACCCCACCCTTCACTCCCCTCCCCTCCAGGAACCCTTAGGTTCCTATGATTAAGAGACTCTTTTGGTTTGTCTCTGTCTCTGATTTTGTCATCTATTATTTTTCTCTCCCTTTCCCTATGGTCCTCTGTTTTGTTTCTTAAATTCCATATATGAGTGAAATCATATGATAATTGTCTTTCTCTGAATTATTTTGCTTAGCATAATACTCTCTAGTTCCACCCATGTTGTTGTAAATGACAAGATTACACCTTTCTGATGGTTGATTGATATTCCATTGTATATATAGACCACAACTTCTTTACCCATTCATCTGTTGATGGACATCTGGGCTCTTTCCACAGTTTGGCTACTGGGGACATTGCTGCTACAAACATGGCGGTACAGGTGCCCCTTCGGATCACTACATTTGTATCTTTGGGGTAAATACTTGGTAGTGCAATTGCTGGGTCATAGGATAGCTCTATGTTTAACTTTCTGAGGAACCTCCATACTGTTTTACAGAGTGGCTGTACCAGCTTGCATTCCCACCAACAGTGTAGGAGGGTTCCCCTTTCTCTGCATCCTCAATGCAGAGAAATGTTTTATTGATTCCTAACTTGTCAGTTTTAACCATCTGACTGGTGTGAAGTGGTATCTCATTGTGGGTTTGATTTGTACTTCCCTGATGCCAAGTGATGTGGAGCACTTTTTCATGTATCTGTTGGCCATCTGAATGTCTTCTTTGGAGAAAAGTCTGTTCATGTCTTCTGCCCATTTCTTGACTGGATTATTTGTTCTTTTGGTGTTGAGTTTAATAAGTTCTTTAGAGATTTTGGATAATAGTACTTTATCTGATAAAACATTTGCAAATATCTTCTCCCATTCTGTAGGTTGTCTTTTGGTTTTGTTGACTGTTTCCTTTGCTGTGAAAATGTTTTTTATCTTGATGAAGTCCCAATAGTTCATCTTTGCCTTTGTTTCCCTTGCCTTTGGAGACATGTCTAGCAAGAAGTTTCGGCAACTGAGATCAAAGAGGTTGTTCTCTAGGATTTCAATGGATTCTGTTTCACATTTAGGTCTTTCATCCATTTTTAGTTTATTTTTGCATACGGTGTAAGAAAATGGTCCCATTCCATTCTTCTGCATGTGGCTATCCAGTTTTCCCAACATCATTTGTTGAAAGAGACTATCTTTTTTTCCACTGGATATTCTTTACTGCTTTGTCAAAGATTAGTTGATCATGTAAACCATAAGTGACTCTTAATCTCATAAAACAAACTGAGGGTTGCTGAGGGGAGGGGGGTCAGGAGAGGGCGGTGGGGTTATGGACATTGGGGAGGGTATGTGCTGTGAAGTGTGTAAACCTGGTGATTCACAGACCTGTACCCCTGGGGATAAAAATACATTATATTAAAAAATATAAATAATATATTTATATATTTACTATATTAATATATTAATTAAATTAATTGAGTAAATATATTAATTAGTTAAGCACATATGTAAATAAATTATTAATTGATAATTAATTTGATTATTAAATTAATTAATTATAATATATTTAATATATTAAATATATAAAAAATAAATTTCATTTCATTTCATTTAAAGATTAATTGATCATAGAGTAGAGGATCCATTCTGGGGACTCTATTCTGTTCCATTGATCTATGTATCTGTTTTTGTGCCAGTACCATACTGTCTTTATGATTACAGCTTTGTAATAGAGCTTGCAGTCTGGAATTGTGATGTCACCAGCTTTGGTTTTCTTTTTCAACATTCTCCTGGAGATTCAGGGTCTTTTCTGGTCCCATACAAATTTTAGGATTATTTGTTCCAGCTCTGTGAAAAATGTTGATGATATTTTGATAGGGATTGCACTGAATGTGTAGATTGCTCTAGGTAGCATAGACATTTTAGCAACATTTGTTCTTCCAATCCATGAGCATAGAACATTTTTCCATTTCTTTATGTCTTCCTCCATTTCTTTCTTGAATGTTCTATAATTTTCAGAGTACAGACCTTGGCCACTTTGGTTAGCTTTATTGCTAGGTGTCTTATGGTTTTTGGTGCAATTGTAAATTAGATTGATTCCTTAATTTCTCTTTCTTCTGTCTCATTGTTAGTGTATAGAAATGCAACTGATTTCTGCATATTGACTTTATATCTTATGAATTTGCTGAATTTTTATATGAGTTTTAGCAATTTGGAGGTAGAGTCTTTCCCACATAGAGTTTCCCACATAGAGTTTCATGTCATCTGCAAAGAGTGCGAGTTTGACTTCTTTGCTGATTGGTATGTCTTTTATTTCCTTTTGTTGGCTGGTTGCTGAGACTAGGACTTCTAGTATTATGTTGAACAGCAGTGGTGATAGTGAACATCACTGTCGTGTTCCTGACCTTAGGGGCAAAGCTCTCAGTTTTTCCCCATTGAGAATGAAATTCGTTGTGGGCTTTTTGTGTATGATTTTTATGATATTGAGGTATGTTCCCTCCATCCCTACACTGTGGAGAGTTTTAATCAAGAAAGGATGCTGTACTTTGTCAAATAATTTTTCTGTACCTATTGAGAGGATCATATGGTTCTTGCCATTTCTTTTATTAATGTAGGGTATCACATTGATTGATTTGAGGATGTTGAACCACATGTGCAGCTCAAGAATAAATCCTACTTGGTCATGGTGAATAATCCTTTTAATGCACTATTGGATCCTATTGGCTAGTATCTTGATGTGAATTTTTGCATCCATGTTCATCAGGAATATTAGTCTGTAACTCCTTTCTGGTGGGATCTTTGTCTGGTTTTGGGATCAAGGTAATGCTGGTCTCATAGCAAGAGTTTGGAAGTTTTCCTTCCATTTCTAGTTTTTGAAACAGCTAGAAGAATAGGTATTAATTCTTCTTTAAATGTTTGTTATAATTTCCCTGGGAAGCCATCTGGCCCTGGACTCTTGTTTGTAGGACATTTTTGATTACTGCTTCAATTTGCTTGCTGGTTTTCAGTCTGTTCAGGTTTTCTATTTCTTCCTGTTCCTGTTTTTATAGTTTATATGTTTCTTGGAATGTATCCATTTCTTCTAGATTGCTTAATTTGTTGGCATATAGTTGCTCATAATATGATCACATAATTGTATTTCTTTGGTGTTGGTTGTAATCTCTCTTCTTCCACTCATGATTTTATTTATTTGGGTCCTTTCTCCTCTCTTTTTGATAAGCCTGGCTAGAGGTTTATTGATATTATTAGTTCTTTAAAAGAATAAGCTCCTAGTTTCATTGATCATTCTACTGTTCTTTTGTTTTCTATTTCATTGATTTCTGTTCTAATCACTATTAATTCTCTTCTTCTGCTGAGTTTAAGCTTTATTTGTTGTTCTTTCTCTAGGTCCTTTAGGAGAAAGGTTAGGTTGTGTATTTGAGACTTTTCTTGTTTCTTGAGAAAGGCTTGAACTGCCATATTAATTCCTTCTTAGGACCACCTTTGCTGCATCCCAAAGGTTTTGAACTGTTGTTTTTTTCATTTTCATGTGTTTCCATTAATTTTTTAATTCTTTTTTAATTTCCTGGTTGACTCATTCATTCTTTAGTAGGATGCTCTTTAACCTATATATTTGTGTTCCTTCCAAATTTCCTCTTATGACTGAGTTCAAGCTTCAAAGGATTGTAGTCTGAAAATACTCAGGGAATGATCCCAATCTTTTGGTACCAATTGAGATCTGATTTGTGACCCAGGATGTGATCTATTCTGGAGAATTTTCCAAGTGCACTTGAGAAGAATGTGTATTCTGTTGCTTTAGGATGGAATGTTCCGAATATACCTATGAAGTCCATCTGGTCTTGTGTGTCATTCAAAGCCCTTGTTTCCTTGTTGATCTTCTGCTTAAATGATTTGTCCATTGCTGTGAGTGGGGTGTTAAAGTCCCCTACTATTTTTATATTATTCTCAATGTGTTTCTTTAATTTTGTTATTGATTGGTTTATAAAATTGGCTGATCTCATGTTAGAGACATAAATATTTACAATTGTTAGATCTTCTTGTTGGATAGACCCTTTAATTATGATATAGTGTCCTTCTTCATCTCTTATTATAGTCTTCAGTTTAAAACCTGATATGGTTGGTATAAGGATTGTTACACCAGCTTTCTTTTGATGTCTGTTAGCATGATAAATGGTTCTCACCCTCTCACTTAATCTGGAGGTGTCTTTGGGTCTAAAATGAATCTCTTGCAGACAACATATTGATGAGTCCTGCTTTTTTATCTAATCTGGTACCCTGTGTCTTTTTATTAGAGCATTTAGCCCATTTACATTCAGAGTAACTATTGAAAGATTTGACTTTAGTGCCATTGTATTACCTTTAGAGTCACACTGTTTCTGTGTACTGTCTGTTCCTCTCTGGTCTATGTTACTTTTGAGCTCTCTTTTCACTTAAAGGAGCCCATTTAATATTTTTTGCAGGGCTGGCATTGATCACAAATTCTTTTAGTTTCTGTTTGTCCTGGAAGCTCTTTATTGCTCCTTCTATTCTGAATGACAGCCTTGCTGGATAAAGTATTCTTGGCTGCATATTTTTCTCATTAAGCACCTTGAATATATCTTGCCTGTCCTTTCTGGCCTATCAGGTATCTATGGATAGGTCTGCCACTAGTCTTGTGCTTCTACCCTTGTAGGTTAAGGATCTCTTGTCCCAAGCTGCTTTCAGAATTTTCTCTTTGTCTCTGAAATTTGCAAGTTTCATTATTATATGTCAAGGTGTTGACCTATTTTTATTGATTTTGAGGGGGGGTTCTCTGGGACTCCTAGACATGAATGCCTATTTCCTTCCCCAGATTAGGAAAGTTCTTAGCTATAATTTGCTCAAATATACTTTTTGCCCCCCCCTTCCTCTGGGACCCCAATTATTCTAATATTATTTCACTTTATGGTTTCATTTATCTCTCGAATTCCCCCCTCATGATCCAGTTATTGTTTACCTCTTTCTCAGTTTTTTTTTAAATTTTCCATGATTTTGTTATGTATATCACTAATTTTCTCTTCTGTCCCATTTATCCTAGCAGTTAGAGCCTCCGTTTTTTTATTACATCTCATTAATAGCCTTTTTTGTTTTGATCTGATTAGATTTTAGTTCTTTTATTTCTCCATAAAGAGATTCTCTAATGTCTTCTATGCTTTTTTGAAGCCTAGCTAGTATCTTTATAATTGTTATTCTGAATTCTAGTTCTGACATCTTATATCCATACTGATTAGGTCTCTAGCAGTGAATACTGCCTCTTGTTTTCTTTTTTGGACTGAGTGCTTCCATCTTGTCATTCTGTTCAGAGAAGAAGGAATGAACCAGAGGGCAAAATACAAAAATAGCAACAACAACCTCAGAAGAATATACACTAAACAAATTACAAGAGACCAGAAACCAAAAAGAGAGAGAGAGAGAGAATATAATCAAACAGGTGAATAAAACAGAGCTATACACTAGATCCTGGGTGTATTTTGGTCTGTTAGAAGAAACTAGATCCCAAAATTGTAAAGAAAGAAAAACTTTCACAAAAATAAAATTGAATAAACTGAGAGGAAGCCAAAAATGTAAAATATATAGAAATAAAACATAAATATAAATATAAAAATGAAAATTTAAAAAGACTTAAGGAATTGATAAAACAAGAAATTTGTTGAAAAAGAAAAAAATTTAAACTGAAAGACTAAAGAATCATGAGGAAAACACAAATTCTATATACTATTTTCTCCTAGTGCTGAAGTTTGTATTTCTGTGTGTTTGGTAAACGTGGTATTAGCTGGAAGTCCCTGCTGGTCTTCTGGGGAAAGGGCCTGTTGCTGCACTGATTCTCAGCTGTCTTTCCCTGGGTGAGATAGCACGAACCTTCCCAGGGGGCCAGACTCAGTGTAAACAAATCCAGAGCCAATATGGGGGTTGAAAATGGCTGCGCCCCACCTCTAGCCCTGGAGTTGAAGGCTCCCCCCACTCCTCAGTGTGCTCTCAGTCAATCACTCGTCTCCATGGTTTCCATCCCCACTCTGCCTATGACCAAGTGTTTTAACTCCAGTTTGCAATTCATTTCAAGTCCCCAAACTTTACAAACTCTTATGGCACACACCCGTGCCACTCCTCCTGGGGGAGGGAAGGTCTCACCAGGGTTCTGTCACTTGCTGGGCCTCTGCTTGGGGAGCAGTCACCCAATCATGAAGGGGTTCACAGTTTATGGAAATCTTTAGCTGGTCTTCCTGTTTGCAGCTGGCTTCTCCGCTCTGATGTTTGTGAACTCTGCTGCACTCAGGCACCTCCATTCTTTTTGTGACCCAGGGGATCCTGAGACCACACCACCCCACCTGGGGTTCCACCCTACTTCTCCACCTGAACACCTTTCAGGCAGGGACATCCCCCACTGGAGCAGGCTTTTAAAAATTCCAATTTTGCATGCTCTGTTTCTGTATCACTCTCTGGTAACTGGCTTAAGGCAGTTCCCTACCCATACAGTTTATCTTCTGGTATATCACCTCGGATCCACTTCTTCACACCTCCTACCTTGCAAGAAGTGGTCGCTTTTCTATTCGTAGAGTTGTAGCAATTCTTTTCTTAGGTCTCCAGTTGAGTTCATAGGTGTTCAGAATTATGTGATAGCTATCTAGCTGAATTCCAAAAACCAGACAAAACTAGGGTCCCCTACTCCTCTGCCATCTTCCCAATCTGTCTAGTTATTAGATTGATTGCATTTAAGTCAGTAGTCTTTGAGTAAAACTAGATTATCCTCCATAATGTGGGTGGGCCTCATCCAATCAGTCAAAGGTCAAAGGTCTCAAGAGCAAAACCAAGTTTTCCAGAGCAATTTTTCCCAATATTGCAGCATGGAAATCCAGCCTGCTGCCCTGTGTAATTCAGATTCAAGACTGCAACATCAACTCTTACTGAATCTCCAGCCTACCAGCCTACCCCACAGGTTTTAGACCTGCCAGCCACTGCACTCACATCAGCCAATTCCTTAGAGTAAATCTAGACAGATGGTTGGATAGATAGATAGGTAGATAGATGATGATGATAGATGATAGATGATAGATAGATAGATAGATAGATTAGATAGATAGATAGATAGATAGACAGACATGGTAAATAGATGAGAGACAGAGATGTTCTGTTTCTATTTCTCTGGAGAACTCTAACTAATACATTCTTTTAGTACCAATGATCCCGAGATGGGAACAAGTTGTGCAAAGAGGGGCCTGGACAAAGCAGAAAAGCTGTAACAAATGAGGAAGACGATGGCCAAGAACTCCAGTTCACTCTATCTATAGACCACTTTTCCAAAAACAAAAAGAGTCTTCAGAAGGTATTTGGTGGCCCCTCACCACCCCCATATGCACAGACTTTCTCTCTCTCTTTCTCAAAAAAAAAAAAAAAGTCTATGTTATAGCACAAAGTGTGAAAATCTGTACATATTTTGAATGCATTGTGAGCCCTCAAAGAAATCCCCAGCTTGGAACTGGCCCCTGGTGACTACTTGTTCACCCTCATCCACACCGTTGGCGGGGGCGGGGGGGGGGGGGTCACAAGTCCTGCAGACCAAGCTCAAACCAAACCCTCAGAGCAAATGCATAGGAGTCAAGCATGTCCACTTGAAAATGCTCTATTTCAAAGAACTAAATCATTGGCCTTTTTCCCCATAGGTACCTGCTTGATACAGCTCGCGGGGTGAAAGTCATGTAGCATTCCTTGTGATTGGAGGCCCACATGCTGCAGGAAGTCTAAATTGCTCATCTGGTATTTCCTTTTTCTTCCTTCCTGAAGGACGTTACACTGGGATTCATGAGCCTTGCTGGACTAACCTGAACGAGTACACACAAATGTCTGAGTATAAAAGAGAAATAAGTCAAAGTGATGTACTTATATCAGTAGCAGCAGAAAATGTCAGTGATGAAATTTAAAAGTCAGTTTTAATTCTGGGAATACCTAAGTCAAAGCCCATTTGATGTCAGATGGGGCTAATAAGTTAAAAATTCAATCAGAAATGATAAGGACCTGTCGATGTTCAAAGAAGTCCCTCCTAAGCCCTTCTGTGACAGTAGCCAAGTGAGCCTGGTAAAAATGCAAATCAGACCCACTCACACCTCTGTTCAAAATCCTTCTGTGCAGGGCGCCTGGGTGGCTCAGTGGGTTAAAGCCTCTGCCTTCGGCTCAGGTCATGATCCCAGGGTCCTGGGATTGAGCCCCACATCCGGCTCGCGGCTCCACAGAGAGCCTGCTTCCTCCTCTCTCTTCCTGCCTGCCTCTCTTGCCTACTTGTAATCTCTGTCTGTCAAATAAATAAATAAAATCTTAAAAAAAAAAAAAAAAAACCCTTCTGTGTGCTCTTAAAATCCAAACTTCCCTCCATGGCTTCAAGGCCTTCTGCCCCTTTTTCCCCAGCTCACAGTCCACCATGTACACTGGCCTCTCTGGTGGCCACACCAAGCTCCTTTCTGCCTCTGAGTCCCCACTCAGGACTCAGAGGAATGGAGGAACTCAGGAACAGGAGGCTGTTCCCTCTGCCCTAAATGTGCTTGCTGCAACTGGTATGCTCCGCCTCTCAGCCTTGATGGAGCCTCCTGAGAGAAGCCTGCCTGATGTTGCCATCTAAGCACACCATTCCTTGTGTTCGTCTCTATCTCCACAACCTGTTTACCGCCTTAAAAGCACTAAAGATAACCTGTTTCATGTGTGTACTTCTGCCCTGTTTCTGTACTAAAACGTCCACTCCCTGAGCACAGACGCCTTACCTCCTGCCTTGTCTGCTGGTAAAGTTCTGTTGAAAGACACTTATCACCTGTACCCCGGAGACAAATAATACATTATATGTTAATAATTTTTTAAAAGGTAGGGAAAAAAAAAAGGAAAAACACTTATCTGTGGGTTTCCCACAGTCTTGTGTGTCTTGTGGGAAAGATGATGACAGCTCTTGGTGCTCGAATATTTTTTCAAGGATGTTTGCCTAGTGAAAAGTCTTGGAAGATCTGGGAGTGCCTCCCTCCAGATCTAGTCAGTTCTGCTTCCTGTCCAGTGTAACAAAGATAATGTCTGCTTCTGGAGCAAAGGGCCAGCCGACTTATGGCACATTAGTTATGCAGCTCAAAACAACCAAATCTAAACATAAACTAAACAAAATCGTGTTTAGACTTCATACATATGTTCACGGCTGTGTCTTGGGGCAGTGGTGTGCAGAGAAGCTGGTGTGTGGCCAGCTGGGTGGGAGCTGGGTGTGGCGAGAAGCCACCAGAAGTTTCCAGGCCCTTGAGGACTGTTGATAATGTTCTTCTAGTTGTTAAGCTGGATGGTGGGCTCACAAGTGTTCATCTTATTATCATGTGTCATAACCCATATATATTGACAAATATTTTGTATTTTCAAATACTTCATCATTAACATTTTATTATATAACATTAGGAGTGGCTATCTCAAGGTAGTAAGATTATGGGTGATTTCCTTCTACTATATGGTTTTCTGAATTTTCTAATTTTTTTCAATAATACGTATTATTTCTAGAGGCAGAAAGCATAAACCTTGCAAAATATATTATTTAGAAGGTATACTGACAAATTACAAGTGGAACTTTGACAATCTCTTCTATTTAAGGAGAACAATAATCAAGGCCTTTCTTCAAGTTATGGAATAGAAATCCAGAGAGACTTGAAGATCCCTCTGTAACTTTGGCTTTCAGATTTCTCCTCCAACTATATACATTGTGTGCTCATGACTACTGTTCTCATTTCCCAAATACACCATGAAATTTATTTCATATATAGGTATATGTGTGTATACATAAGTAGCATTGTATATGTATTATATAACACAAGAATATATAAGGTTTGCATTAAATATAAATAATACTACATGTGGATTACATAATGTGTATATAGCTAGGGGTTGAATTGTATCCCCCAAAAAAGATACGTGGAAGTCCTAACACCCCAGTACCTCACAATGTTATCTTATTTGGAAAGAGTGTCATTGTACTTGTCAATTAAGATGAAGTACTTACTGGATACTGGAGTAGCATGGGCCTCTTATCCAGGGCACAGGTGTCCTCTCGAAATAGAGGAATGTTGAACGCAAGCACTCACAGAAGGAAGACAATGTGAAGGGACACACAAGGAGCAGAGAGCTATGTGATGATAGACACAGAGTAGCTGATGTATCTACAAGCTAAGGAAAGCAAGGGCTTGCAGGAAATGACAAGAAACCAGAAGAGGCAAGGAGGGATTCTCCTTTACAGTTTTCAGAGAGAATGTGGCCTCACTGACACCTTGATTTCAGACCACCAGCCTCCCGAGCTGTGAGAAAATACATTTTTGTTGTTTCAAGTCACCCAATTTGTGGTACTTTGGAGGCAACCCTAAGAAACAAATATACATGTATAATATATCTTATATACATACATAGTATAGATCATATGTACAATGGCATATATTATCTATATTATGTATGACACATGTATAAACACATATAATATATAGTACATTATATATATTACACACATATACACCTATAAAACAAGCACCTGGGAAAAGTTTAAGCATTATAGAAATATACAAAGTAAGTAAAATCTCCCTCCCTTCTCAGTTGCCAGCCCAGCAGCTAACTACTGTTAGTAGTACCTTTCTGATGCATTTTCAAAAATCTTTATGCATATATTAGTGAATGTATAGCATGTCTGTGATAGACAGAATAATGCCCCCAAAAGATATCCACATCCTAACCTCCAGAACCTGGGACCATGTTGTGTCACATAGAAAAACAGACTTTTGCAGGTGTCATGAGATTAAGGGTGTTGAGATAAAGAGACTGTTTTGGATCATCCCTGTGTACCTAATGGAATCACAAGATTCCACGTAAGAGTGAAACAAGAGCATCAGGGTCAGAGGGAGACTTGAAGATGTTACACTTTCAAGATAAAGGAGCCAAAGAATGCTGCTAGTCTCTAGACTCTGGAAAAGGAAGGAAACAGATTCTCCCCTAGAGCCTCCAGAAACAAGGCAGCCTTTCTTGGTTTTATCCCCAGGAGGCCCATTTCAGATTGCTGACATGGAGAACAGTAAGAGAATAAAGCTGTGTTACTTTAAGCCAATGCATTTATGGCAATATGTGACAGCAGCAATAGGAAATTCATACAATATGTGTGAGAATGACATGGAGGAAAAAACTTATTTGAGATGGGGAAAAGTTGTTTCATATCTACAGTCCCTCACCAATTTACATGGGATGATGGTGCCAGGATGCAGCCTGGAGAAACAGAGGTGTTTTGCTTGAGAAAAGGAGAACCTGAGAGAAGCCCCAGGAAGACCCAGTGTGGGAGGAGCTGGGGTGACAGAGCTCAGAAGGAAAGAGACAAGGTGGAGATGGATAGCTTGGTAGTTTAAGAAGAACCAACAGCTGGGGGTGGGAAGGTGGAAAGAAGTAACTAAGTGAGATTTTTTTAAGTTAAAGTTCATCATGCGGCAAATGTTATAACCATCTCCTCCATCTCTCCAGGACAATTTGAGGAAAACTGACATTATTTACTCATGTTTTGTGGAATGAGAGCTGTCTTAGGAAATGCAACAAAGCATGATCCTGTTTTGAGGTGAGTTCAGGGTTTCAAATGGTGCCTATAAGGGCTCAGGCACAGTGTGGATTAAACAGTCACTCTAGAACTAAGGCAAATGTGTCCCTCAAGAGGACGGCCAAATGGAAAGTGTTAGGTCCAGTGGAAGGGAGACCCTGTCAGCATGCGTCATGGCAGTCTTCGGAGAGAACCTGGAGTAACAAGTCTCAGCATGACAGAAGAGAAATGCCCTACACATGTTGAGTTTTTTTGGATGGACATGCACATATAACGTTCATTATGCAAACTTAGTAGAGTGCAAAAGTCTAAGAAACTCCTTTATGAAGTCCTAGACTGGAAGGAAGTTGGTGTTTAATCATGCCCCAGTGGATGTCCTCATTCTCCAGGAAACTGAGATCTTCCCTGGAAGGGAAAGGAGACCCATGAAGATACAACACAGAGTCTCTACTTTGGGTCCTGCCCCATCTGCAGAGGGTGTGGGCTGGTTGTCGAGCAAACTTCCAAAGTGGAGGCTGCCTGCTTTAGAGCCTGGAGACTTTTCCTGGGAAGGCAGTGCCAGAGATGCTGAAAGAAGCCCCTGGGGATGCTGTTGGGAAGTTTGGTAGATTCAAAATCATGGCCACAGCATTTGTCAGCATGTCCCACCAAGAGGTGGTATGTATTTCTTCACCTCTTGAATCTGGGCTGGCCTTGCTATGTGTTTTGGTCCACTGAATGTGGTAGAAGGAACACTGGAGGGGTTCTAGATCTTAAGATGCCTGCATCTTCCACTTTCTCTTTTTCCTTTTACACAACCACCATGAAAGAAGTCTGGGCTCTCCTGCCGGAGAAAGAGGACACATAGAGCAAGAGACCCCTAAGAACAAGAGATTATAAAGAGAGGGAGGTCATGTGAAAGAGACCCAAGATCCCCCAGCTGACAGCCACATGGATGCTCCATCTATGTGAGGGAGGTATATGGGATTCCAAAGGACATAATGAAATGGATGAGCTGTTCTCACTGAGCTCTGCCCAAATTCCTGACCCACAGATTCATAAGCAGCAAAATAGTTATTTTTACCCACAGAGACCTGGGGTGCTCTGCCGCAGCAATAGATACCTGACCTAGCATGAGAAAACAAGAAAATGAATACATCTCAGTTAACTGAAAGTTTTAAGGGCCCAGAGCGTCTGGATGGCTCAGTGGTTAATCAACTGACTCTTGATTTCAGCTCAGATCATGATCTGAGGGTCCTAGAAATGAGCCCCATGACAGGCTCCAGCTCAGTCAAGAGTCTGCTTTTAGATTTTCTCACACTCCCTCTGCTCCCCACCAACTCCTCACACTCTTGCCTTCTCTCACACCCTCTCTCTAATAAATAAATCTTTTTTTTTAAAGAGGAAGTATTCAGGGCCCAATCTTAGAAGGCATACAGGAAATCAGACCATAATGGGCCATCTGACTCTGCATGTCAACTCATCCAAGAATAACAAGTATCTGACACCAAATTTTTAAAGAATAATCTTATAGGTGAGACATACCTTTATAAGGTATGTCATACAGAAAGCTTCCTAGAACTCTCTTTGGAGTTTCTCTTTATCAAATGTTTTTCACAATAACAACTTCCAAAAATCAATCTCTCTCCCTCCCTCTTTCTGCTCACACACATTCACACGTGCACACACATGCACACATATGTACACATGTATGCATACATACCATTCTCTACCTGCCTACCACATCACTCTTCCTACAGTCCTCCTCCATCTCAGCCACCATCCGTGTGTCCAGAGACCCTCACTGCTTCCCAAAGCCCTATAGGAAACATAACCTCTTCTTCACTGACTCTTCTTTTCCTGTAGTGAGGAGCCACTTGGAATTCAGATGGACCCATTGCCTTCTTCATTGCTTACTCAGGAATGACAGCCACCTTGCCAAGACCAGTACTATGTATTTTCACATATTTTATTTCCTTTCTTCAGATTACAGTTGAAGGCCAAGGCACCCTTTCAGTTCCAGCTCAATGCCACTTCTCAAAAACCTCTTTCCTGGGGCACCTGGGTGGCTCAGTCAGTTGAGTGTCCAACTCTTGATCTCAGTTTGGGTCTTCATCTTGGGGTCATGAGTTCAAGCTCCTCAGTGGGCTCCATGCTGGACATGGAACCTACTTTAAAACTACTGATTTAGTAAATAACAAGATACTTAGTTAAATTTGACTTTCAGATAAATAACATTTTTTTATTAGTATCAGTATGCTCTGTGCAATATTGGGCACATACTTTTACTATGAAAAATTATTTATTATGTATCTGAAAGTCAAATTTAACTAGATATCTTGTTATTTACTAAATCAGGAACCTTATCCAGGGTTATTGTGAGGTTTCAGTAAAATGATTACAAGGGCCTGTCAGCCTCATGCCTGCAGTTGGCTCTTGGTGGTAGCACTTATTAAACAATAGAAACCATTAACATTACCTGAGCGAGAGCATGACAGAACCATCTATCTTAGGGGCTCTAAATTTAGCTCTGGCCGAAAACAATATTTGAGATTTCTTAACATGCCTAGAAGTAGAAGGTTGAGCTCATTTAAAATATATCACGTAAGTAGCTTTCAATTATTACTCTATCTTTTGCAGGTTCTGCCTCAGCAACTTTGTAACCCAGCGATTTTGAAATGTCGAAAATCTTTGCATATAATGAATGGGAATAATCATTCTCCCCCAAAATGCCTTGGCTCTGATGATACAGTGTGTTAGACATATGGTCTGACTCGAATGACAATTGACTAAATCATTGTTTCCGCTCAATTAATTTATAGCCCCGGGTAGCGTTCTGAGCTTCGGTCTCCTGACAAGCCCCCTCCCCATCAACAGCCTTGAATCTTACCCCAAGGCTTCACTCCAAGAATAGAATACATCTTCCTTTCACAGATGACTCCTGGAGCAAACAAAAAAAAATTAATCGATTAACAGAGAAATCATGTAAAACTTCATAGTGATATACTCTCCTCTAGCATCACTAAATGAGATGTGACAGATTCCACTAGGCCAGTTGTCCCCACAGTTATTTTCTCCCCCCTTTCCAGGACACATGGCTGGACAGCTAGAGATACCATCTCCCAGTTTCTGTTACTGTCAGGTATGCCCACAGGACTCGTTCCAGCCCATGGGCTGTAGTTGAAAGTGATGTGTGCAACTTCCATGTCACTTTTTGAGAATGGCACCTACTAGCCTGGGCTCCTGGATGAAGTCATGGTACAGAGGCCACCTACCTACCTTGGACCTTAATATGAGAGAAGAAGTGTTTTTGAAGCCACTAAATGTCCTTGGACTGCTTTGTTACCTCAGCCTAGGCTTTATTCTAACTACGACAAAGTTCACATAACTCATTTGCCTCAGATTAATAACTAGAATGCAACCAAATGCCTTGACCAAGGCCTCCTTGACTCTGCAAATCCCATGTTTGTTCTACATCTGCCTCCCTTTGACTCCTCCCCAGGAAAGTCTTACCTGCTGCTATGGACTAAATAAGTGTGCCCCCCCCCCCCAAATTTATATATTGAGG